CAGGAATGACTTGGAAGGAGCTTCTAATGCAGACCTATGGATCTGAGCAAGGCACACCTGTGAATATAGCTCTGTGTCCAAATCTAGAAGCAGGCATGCTGGCAATTGTGTCGCACACTTCATCAGCAAAGTCTCCCAGCTGAGTCTCTACTTGGACAGCAACAGCAAGGAAGCCAACAGCAACGGTCACCAAGTCTGTTTTCAGGGAAAGCAGGGATGTACCTCCAGTACACAGAAACCAGAATAACCACAAGAAACTATGATCTCCTCTTGTTGTTTCAAGCTGTGGTGTAAGTGTGCAGGTGGGCTACAGACAGATAGCTGTACCTCCAGAACATCAGTTTGATCCTCAGGTTTCCTCAGATGCATTCACCACTGTTGTCATTGGCAAAGTTCCCTATCTGGGAGCTGTATGACAAAGCTGACAATGCACAGTTTCATATACCAATTCATGTGCTGTAATATGTGACTCTCACAGTATGAGGCTGATGAACTTTAAAAACAATCAATCAAAATCAGTAAATAAATAAAATCTTGGCAGTTTTTGATCTTCATTTGCTCACATTTCTTCTGGCTACTGGGGAAGAAAAGTAAGAGGAGAAAGTGGAAGGCTGACATTGATTCTACTTTTCATATGTTCTGAATAAAGTTTAAAACCTGTTACTACAGTACAATTAAAAACATAACTGTGAGTGCTCTCAGAATTAAGCTCCAGAGGCTTTAGAATATAAAACTAGTACTTACCATAATCTCCATTTTTCTCCAAAATTCTTCTAACTTAGCAATAGGCTTAAGCCACCAATCAGTGCACTTCAAATACCGCTTGCCTTGAAACCAGAACTGCCTAAGCCACTCAAATTCAACCTGCAAGATAAAAACATATGCTAGCATAAACATCTCTGTTCATTATTTGGGTGGTAATGGGGTAGTGCATGAATGCAAGTATTCGTGAATAACTCAGAAGAAAAGGAAATGGTTAACAAAGCACTCATTTCTAAATGCACTGTTACACACAGATGTTTATTTCTATTCCACATGAATCTGTGACCTGAGCTACTCCCTTCAAACCTAGAGAGGTGCAAAACTCAACTCTTTTCTTTACATGTGGTATATGTACAATGAAGATTAAAAGTTCAGGTTTAAACACAATTCAGGCAAACATGTACCAACCCTGGCTTACTTTGATTACCACTGCGGGTTTCAAAATATTTCAGGCATATAAAAGACTGAAAAAACTTACAGTAATAAAATTGCTAGAACACAGTCTAGCCAATTGGTGTGGAATGAGAGCATGGCATTACAATGAATCATGGTTTACTGAACAATCTGGTTACCAGATCAGCTACCAGTAACTTTTGGATTGACTGGGTGTCCACCTGAGACATAAAAGCGCCCTGCTGAGGCAGTCCTGCGGGGAAATGAGATTGCCAAAGTGGCTCATGACGCCTCTGCCCAATCTTCCATTCCAGCTAAACCCTCCAACACAGAACAATGTGCACCTACCAGGAGTGGAAAAGCAGGTCCCAGCTTTTTGGGGCATCCAAAGTAACAGGTTTTTCCAGGAGGAAGCTTTGTGGAAACTATGCTTTACAAAGAAAACACATCCCCCACTGAAGCAATAAAACTTCCATCAGGAGCAAGCTAATAGTTTCATTTAGAACATGTAACGCAGCAAATGGTAAAATATTTCACTAGTTCATGTTTTTGAAAGATTTTGCATGGATGGCCATCAACTTTAAAATAAGAGAAATATTAGCTTCTTAAAACATAAATCTGTAACTCATCCCATATTCTTTAAGCAAAATAATGCCATTTATCCTCATTTCCACTGAGCCTTTTTTTCCTTTAATAGCAATCCATAGTTATGGTCTTTAGAATTCTGTATTTATCTTTGTTGTGGTAGTTACATTTCACACCGAGTTCAAAGCTGCTTTAATCATTATTTGTACCACAAAGAAGTTTTTGTTTATCCCTGCTCAGATCCGATGATGCAAACAAACACAACCTGCCACAGAGAAAGAATAAAGAAAACTGCCCAAAGCTGTCACCTAACGCTTTCTTTCCTGCACGGGTGAACAAAAAGGCTACAGAAATCTGAAAGTGTTCCAGGTAACATTAACTAAAAGTTTGGCCAATGTATGTTAAAGTTTACAATAAAGATACTTAAATTTGCAGTGTATAAAAAGAATATTAAAACAATTTTATTGGTAAAAAATTATTAGTTGGTAGTCATAGATCTTAAAATATTTTCCAAAAACCTGACTGCTAGCCTAGTGACTTTTAAGCACAAAAGTTTGATGACATCTTCCTAAAAAAAGCTGAAGGAAAGTTTGCTTTCTCTACACCATTAACAAGGTATAAAGGATCAAGTTATGGCTTGTTAAAAAAATCAGTATATACAGATTTGGGAAGGCCGCGCATATCATCCAAAGCTTTAAGCACTTGATGCTTTTT